ATATCTTGTTTACCCTGCCTGTTTGCTGACAATCAAATGCCATCATGCCACTTTGGATCGTGAGGAAACGGAGAAGGGGATACCGGTTAGATCCTTTTAAAGGGAATTACACTCTGTTCCAAAGATATCATCCTTTAAAAGAACAATTCAACAGGGAATGAATGAATGCAGGAGAGAAAAGAAGGAGCTATTCTACAAGGCAGGGTATCAAAAAAAAAAAAAACAAGGCAGGAATTAATCCTCAGGTTTTTATTTTTCACTCCAGAACAAAAACACACACAAAAAAAGCAAAAGTGGAAGAAAACTCATTACAAACCTTTTAAAAACTATACTGAAATTTAAAAGATCACATGAACAGTGTGCTATATTTTAATTTTTTTTTTTAATGACATGATTAGGAAAGTACTGGTTATTTGGGCGTCTGTTCAATTTCTTGGGGGGGGGAATGAGTCCTTTCACATCTTTCAATAAAAAATATTCAAAGAACGCTTTTGCTTGGTTCTCTAATCACTCTCTTCCTCCCACCCTATCTTTCAACCCTGGAATGTATAAGAACATTTTTTTTTAAAAAAGCCGTCGTGTTTATTTTGTTCTGTTTTGGCCTATTTTTTTTCCCACGGGAAGTTCACAAGCAGGATGTGAACACTCCTGCGTTCTCATGGTCCTTGCTCCTGGCGTTTAATAATCTGAGGGATAGACTACTCCTGCTTGTGGAGGTTCCATTTTGATATCGGAATAAATCTCTGCCAGGAAAACGGTGCCGGATCAGGGCAGAGGTCTTTAAAATGTTGGAGATTCTGGGTGCTATGATCCAAAGTAATGTTTCTGAGTTGTAACCTTAGGCTCTCTGCCTTCTAAGACTTCACTTGTTACTCTTATACCTGTTCCTTTTACACCTAGATGCTTCTTCACAACTAAAAATCCACATCTTGTGGAATTTTTTTTTTTAGTTTGTTCAAAAGCACATCCAGCTTTTTAACAAACACGGGGTAATATCTAATTAAACTCAAAGCGATGTGAGCTGCAAGCAAAATATAACAAATGATTAACTGGGTCTCTCTGTTAAGCCTTGCTGGCATTCCGAGGGTACCGAGAGCGAGTCTCGGAATAGCCAGCGAAATCTGACTCGCTGTTCTCGAACACAGGTTGGAAGAAACTTGCTCCAGAAGCTGCTCTTTAAATACCCATTTGCACCCCAAAAAATTCACCCCTAGCAAGCTCTCAGGCCCCAGCGCACAAGCAGTCAGCAGAAGGGTCAGTTTTCTCAGGATCAGGCCCCTGCAGCCAAAGGACAGAAAGGTCCCTGATGAGGAAAACATGGAGCCTCACAGGGATGAATGATAACCCTTTAAACCCTTGGCCAACTGGAGGGACCCCATCCACTTCCCTGGAGGTCCCTGGCTTGTAGAGCTGAGCCAGCCATGTGTTTGGACAAGACAAGGCGGCGTTGGCTGGCCGGGATGCGGCCAGAGCCCTGGACAGGCAAGTGAGGGGGGGTGACTTAAGGGACCAGTTGCTCAGCCGGCCTCCTTTGGCTCAGCTCTACGAGGCTGTTTGGGGGGGGGGAAGTGGCCACTATACCACTATTAACAGTTGAGTTCTTGCCGAGGAACTGTGGTCCTGCCACCACTGCCGGAGGGGGGTGCCGGTGGGGGGGCCACACCAAGCTATTATTGAAGATTGGGGAGTACTCCGTTTTTTTGTAGGGCTGGGGGAAGAGTCTGTGGAGGCCAGAGACGGAGAGGCGCAGCTGAAGGGACAAATCCAGGTGCCACGATCCGTGGAAAAATACACACACACACACACCCCCTTGCAAAATGGCACAGGAGCTAGAGCGCTCTGGGTTTTCATCCAAACTTTTATAGGAGCTGGTGACAAATTCATGGAGGTGGACAAAACCAGGAACTTTGATTGTCTCCTGGAGTAGAGTTTGGATGAAAAGACAGACCAGGTTCATGCCCACCCTACCCTCTACTCATATTGTAGTCACGCTGCATTTGTTTGCCTTCCTAAGAGTCAGAACACGGAGTGACTTTGTGTTCCAAATACTGTATTAACTATTTATTCCATGAAACAGGCGGGCCAAATCCTTTTCCATCCTTCTCCTTTCCTCTTTGTGCTGGGCGGCTTTGAATTCTAAACAAAGCGGTCCAGTATTTCAGAGCTGGTTTGAAAGACGTTGCTGCTTCTAATACTATTTTGCCTTTCACTAAACAGGTAACTTAGGTTTTAATATTCCTTCAAAAACCTGCAGTACCTGTTTGATACCAGTTTATAACAGACAAACAAAACATATCTCTGGAAAGGGGGCTTTCCTCAAACCACGTAAAGCATCACTCATAATTTCTACTTCTGGCATCTCTTCTTATTAATACACTGATTTGTTCAGCTTCAATCCAAGCATGCTTTTAAAAAATCTTTGTTTAAAGAAGCAATAACGGAGTTTATGAATGTGGAAAATTTCCTTCTTTTCCCTTCCCAAACTTAGAGCCTCCCGCCCTTGTTGTTTCCCTGTGCTTTCTCCCTTTTAGGACTATATTTTTTCTCCTTTAAAAAAAACATTAAAAATATGTTTGTTATTATTTTCAATTAGGGGATGTGTAGGAAGTCTGCTATAAATCCCAGCGGGTCTGCATTTCATTTTGATCAGGAAAGATTAAAATGCTTCAATTCACATCGACATCCGCTTCGCATTACAAAGATATAAACGGAAAACGGTAGAGGGTGGGGGATATGATTGATTTAAAGTGACAGCCACAGAAAAGCTTTCTGAGAAAAAAAAAATTGGTGGAGGGCAGGTTTGTATGGCTTTTACTATATTTAAACAAAACAGCGCAACAACAACGTAGGGCCCTCATAGGCCATAAAATCTTCTCTTCCTTTCCTTTTGATTCTCGCTGCCAATGTAAATGGCCTCTCTTTGAAAATGATCTTTTGCCTTAATTATGTTAGCAAAATATGCTTCTCATCCTTGCAAAAGGGAAATTTTTGACTTTTTTTTTACCTTGAGCCAGCTACCTGGCATTGAACCCCAGGTCGTGAGCACAGTTTTAGCTGCAGTACAGCAGTTTAACCACTGCGCCACTAGGCTCTAGTAACAGGATCCTCTTTATCAGATCCACATCTTGAATGTCCATGTCACCTTTGGATTTCTTGGTGCATTTCTAATATTTATTTATTATTTATTTAAAACAGTTGTTACCTTGCCTTTCTTCTTAAAAACACACACACACACACACCCACACACACACCCCTGGAAGTGTTTTTATTTATTTATTATTTATTTAAAACATTTGTTACCTTGCCTTTCTTCTTAAAAACGGACCCGAGGACTCTTGTCCAAAATGCACTTCTTACTTTTTTTTTTTGGAAAGCAGTTTTGCTATTAGATGCCCTTGAGAATATTTCCAACAGTAGAAATATTCCATTTTTCAGGCACACTAAAAATATTAGTCGTCATTAACACAATATTTAAAATAGAACAACTCCCTTGCAAAATTCAAAGCAGGGCAGATTTTAAAAGATGCGTTTCCACTGGTCTATGGAGACTGAGATGTTAACAAGGTGAACCAGTCAAAAAATCCCGCACCCCCATTTTCTACCTGTGAGTAAGACTCATTGAACTCAGTGGGACTTGCATTTGAGTAGTTCAGGATCATGCCTGAAATTCCCCAGGGTCTCTTTCTACTCAAGAGGGAAGCCAATTTATGCAATTAAAATATTGCAATTACTCCACTTTTCTCCTTTAAAAAAGGAAATGAGGTGTCTTACTTTATTAAAGGCACATGATTAAAAGCTAAAAAAACAGTCAATTATTCAAACATTTAAAAACCACCCAAATTAATAACATGAAACATGTTAGCTAAAAGCATTCCGAAAACAGATTTAGAAGCCACAAAACAAGAACATTTAGTTTTAAAACCTCTCCTAGCCAGCCAGAAGGCTTTGATTTTGGTGATGTTCAGTTCATTCATAGCTCGAGAAACGAGGGGAAGGGTTACTTGTCAGAAGTAACTTGGCATTTGTAATTACTTACTTTCCAGCTCTGGGTCCACCACAAATCAGCGAGGAATTAGAGATGTATGTTCTAAAACTTGGCTTCCCCGAAAGGAGGAACAACAGTTAAAATTTCCCTCGCCTGCAAAAAGGGATGCTAGCTACCAAGCTGTCTGGAGAACATCTACCCAATTAGCACAGTTTTAAGGGCGGTACAAATCATTCATTAGCACTGGTAATGAGGGCTCCAGATTGGTGGCAATGGGGGTGTTATGATTTATATACAGTATATATATCTGGGAAGGTCTGGGACACCGATCCCTTCCCTCTGAATTAAACTCTGAAACAGAAAACAGCAATGATACTTCATTTTTTTGGGTCAAGAAATCTGTGCTCCAGCAAAGGCCCAGTTTTTAAACGTATGGACTGGACTGGCCTGCCTCACAGGGTACTTGTGAAGGTACGGAAGGGAGCTGGTATGGGAACTCCTGTATTCCTAAGAGCGCAAACCTATACAGAGGTTGACACGGAAGGAAATTCCACCGTGTTCAATGCGGTGAGTGATTCTTACATGGGGCATGCTTCTGTTTTAGGATTTAAAAGGCTTTCCCCCCTCTCCAGCTGGGAAAAGAGATACTTATCTATCTATCTATCTATTTTTATTGATTGGTTGATTGATTGATTGATTGATTGATTGATTGATTGATTGATTGATTGATTGATTGGGTCACAGCGTTCCAAAATGGGACTTATTTGCAGGGTTACCTATTGTATTTTTAGTATTGGATTTACCGTTTTTCATACAATCCCTGTTTAATTCCTGTTTTTAATATTTCTGTACTTACTGTTTGTGGCTTTTAAATATTGTCTTTTAATTGTTGTAAGTCGCCTTGGGTTCTCTTAAAAGGAGAAAGGCAGGGTAGAATATATTTTAAAGATATAAATACATAAAGCCACATTGGAAGAACTCCTAAAATTTATCACAATGAAATCTCACC